ATATAAATCAGTTAATGATTTAATACGCAGTGTGCTTTCATATTCCACATTCCCTTTTCTTTAAAAAGAAGAAGAAGAAGAAAAAAAAAACGATGGGAATCTATAACACATCAGTTTATAGGTCACCCCGAATTTTTACATTACACATCACCAACCACATGAAAGTTATATCAAATACGACCTCATGCAGACAACATAGATGCACTTATTAAAGCAAAGGAGAGAGAGACAGCCATCGCAGGTTGGCAATTCGTATGTTCCGCGTAAGTTATGTACCAAAGTAGTTTTCTGAAGGAGGAACGAGGGACCGCTGAGGGGACATGGGAATTCTTCACAGGGGACGTGACCTGCTACGGCGTCATTAAGGTCTGGAAGCTACTGCTATAGGGCGGGAGTGAACCGTATTCATGATGACAAATGTAGAAAAGGTATGAATGAGAATGAATATCTTCACCAGTTTCGAATACATCTTCGTCAGAAATGCATCTTTTTGAAAAAGATATATTCGAAACCGTATTGGGAAGATATTCATTTTCATTTATACCTGTTCTACATGGGCGGCGTTGTCCAAATTCTACAGCACGAACTCCACGTAGCAACCCTTTCACATTACCGTGGGGGTAAAAAAAAGTTTTGAGAGATTAATGAATACTTTACTACATATAAAAAAAACAATAAACTTTTTACCCGTTTTACTAACTGACCACCTCAAAGACTGAATATCAGAAATTATTCACGAACCTTTGTACAAATGTGAAAAGATTATAAAGAATCGTCTTCATACACGCATAATCAGATACTATCCTTCGTCTTTACATCTGCTTGGAAGTTAAAAGCTTCAACTTCAAAGCAAGTGTATTTTTTTCTCTTAAATTAGCAGGCATAGTATTAGGTCTGTATACTTGGAAGTGAAAGTGAAAGTTCACCAGCTTTGAAGCCCTCATCATCATCAACAGACCGTATTTTGGACATCCTTGCCACGGACTTGAGCATATAAAGGGCAAAGAAGCTGCAATTTTAAAGATTAACATTATTAACATTGTCTATGAAGTTATATAGTTACTTCACTATTAGGTATTCTAGGGTTGGAATTCATAAAGTAAATTCACCTGAAAATGTGAAGTGAAATGTGGAAAGGTTTTTTCCATGCAGTAAAAGCAAATATCCGAGAGCCTTAAAATGAACGTTTACGTGAATTTGGAGATTTATCGTATAACGACACTATAAACATGCAGAGATAATATGAATAGAAATAAAACAAACGAAACACTGAAAAACACATACCAAAAATTGATACTGATATAAACACACATACACACACACACATGCACAAATAATAGGTATGATAAGCGTATTCGCAGGTTATACGAGGAAATTCATTTCATTGTCGGTAGATTAGATTTTGATATAATCCTATTGCTTTTTCATTAACTGCAGTAAAAAGAACTGCAGGGCCATTATTGTGAGAGAGAAGTGCAATAAGTGCAACTGCGCGCTGAGTAAAATTGCATTGTGTACTTAAAAGACAAGTCATGATACGAATCGAAATCAAATCTAGATAGGGCAATACTTGGGTTTTCCGTTCTTTTCATTCTTATTGATTAATACTTTCCTGTACCTGTTCTCTGATTACACAATGGTAACAGCAAAGAAGAGGTAAAAAAGATGACCACTCCATAAGGGCGTCAAAGTTTAACTCGAAAAAGGCCCTTTTCGGGGTCTTTGCAGCAGGGAACAAGGGTGAGCGGCAACTTACTTGCAGACATGAGCGAGGCTTCGGGGAACTCCTTGACGAGGTGCAGGATGAGCACGCCCGTGGCCTGGTGGACGCCGTGCGAGATCACGTGCACCAGCAGCGCCATCACGAGCACCACCCAGCCCCAGCCGCCCTCGGGGTAGTAGTGGCGGCCGATGGTGGCCTTCTTGTCGGGGTCCTCGGTGCCCTGCTTCTCGTTCTCCGCCTCCTCGGACGGCAGCTCCGAGCAGGCCGCGCCCGACGGCAGGTCGCCCAGCAGGGACGAGCGCGCGTCGGAGGCGAAGGACGGCGTGTCGGAGGCGACGACCACCACGCCGGAGTCGCGGCCGCCGCCCGAGTTGCCGGAGCGAGACAGGCCGGAGTCGTCGCCGTCCCATCCGTCGCCGTTCGCGCCGGGCAGCGACTTGGAGCGGGACACGGACATGCTGACGCGGCTCTCGAGGCTCTCTTAGGCTCGCGTCGTGCTCGCAAGCATGACACGGTGGGCGGGGCTCTGCTTCAAGCAGTTAACCTGTCCGTTGACCGCGCAGCCATTGTCATTTTCTGGGGTTCCTTTTTCATTTCAGAACTCGGCTGGCCGGTTTATTTTCCGTCGTGACGCAGAGTGAATCCCCATTGTCATTTCAGATTATTTTTCTTTGTTTATCATCCAGATTTACCGAGAATAATTCCCCTGAATGTCCATCATCTAGATATCAATTTCATTCATATATTTCCGGATTTATCAAAACATTTCTGTTACATAACCCTGAAATAAAATGTACAGTTATAAGTATCTTTATAGTAATTTTGCCATATGCTTTCCTTATTTTTTCGTTTTCTACGTAGTTGCTTAAAGATATAAATATCCACAGTTATTTTCACGAAAAGTCGGTATAATATGCAGATGTTTACAGTTTACAGTATAGTAATGATCCTGTGAAATTATGATGATGACACATTTGCGAAGGTGATGATGACGACGACGATAGCCAAAGCAGCAGTTAGCACAAAAGCCGTAATCATAATCATGATATAAATGGTAGTGTAAAAAAATATGGAAAGATAATAAGGGTAGTAATGATAATACTAGTAACAAAACAATGATAACGATAATAATGATGATGATCATAATGATAATATTATGATTTTTCATATTAACAATGATAATAATATAGATAATAATAATTATAATGATAATAATGATAGTAATGATAATAACAATAACTAATAATATCAATAATAATAACAACAACAGCAATGATGATTATAACAACAGGAACGACAACAAGAATAATAATAATACCAATGACGATAATACAGATAAGTCCCCAGCAGACGCCCAAGGGACCGACTCGGTCTTGGGTTCTAAAGGCAGGATATGAGGATCTTGGACCAGAAAGAGACGTGGTCTTTCGAAGGAGACTCAGCTGGATATTGCCAGGAGGAATCGCGAGATGCAAACATGGATATCAGACTGTGAAGAGTGGAGGCGGTAATGTGGATAGAAGGATGAGGTGGTTGTTGCTGGGGGGGGGGGGGGAGGGAACTGACATATTTGATTTAAGAATCAAGGTAGAACCGGGTAAGTGCAGCGTGTATGCTAGTAATGTAGCATTTTGGGAGCAATATAATCGAATGCGTGAGATAAGATCGTCGATTGTCTCATTTTCGCTTATGCACTGAGGTATTGAAAGGTATTCGGTATCATCTCTGCCTAAGATATAATAATCATGTTTATGTGTGTGTGTGTGCATGTGTGTGTATGTGTGTGTGTGTGTGTGTGTGTGTGTGTGTGTGTGTGTGTGTGTGTGTGTGTGTGTGTGTGTGTGTGTGTGTGTGTGTGTGTGTGTGTGTGTGTGTGTGTGTGTGTGTGTGTGTGTGTGTGTGTGTGTGTGTGTGTGTGTGTGTATCTATATAATGCCCAAATAATGGCATCAGCTGTCTCTGTCAAGCTCCGCAGTTGGTGATTACTCAAAAACTAATAGATAATGGCACATTTAAACAGACAGATAAACGGACTAAAAATATAGATAAAGAATTATGGTGAAAACAGATACAGTGACAGCTGTCACATACATGAATAGACGCATAAATGGATAAATTAAGCTTTAAACAGACAGACAGGAGACAGACAAATAGATAGATAACAAAACAGACAAGCAGACAAAAAGATAGACAGACATGTGTGAATAAGTATAAAGACAAGGAGACCAAGACATGAAAAGACAAAGAAGATGCACATAAACAAGACAGAAAAATAGATTGAAATGTCAGATGAACAGTTAAGAAAACAAACCAGGTTCATGTTCAGCTGGCTTCGTGTGACCTTTGACCTCGGTTCAGACCATCCCTTCGCCCTGACCCGACCCATGTGTTATTGCAAGTCGGCCAAAGTCATATAGAAACGAAATAGGATTCGGAGTTATGGAAGGCGAAGAGAGGAAATTGCGAGAGGAAAGGCAGACGAGAGAGTCTCCATCTTGAAAAGAGAGAGAGAGAGAGAGAAAGCGAGGGAAGAAAGAGATACGTGAAGATAACAGGGATGGGAGGAAGGGTGAAGAACAAGAAAGAACAAGGCAAAAATGAAGTCAAAAGAAGAAGATATCGTTAACTTTCATGAAAATCAATCCATCACAACCTCTCTAATTGCCCTCTTTTTACCCCCCCCCCTTTGCTCTCCGAATAATAATAATAATAATAATAATAATAATAATAATAATAATAATAATAATAATAATAATAATAATAATAATAATAATAATAATAATAATAATAATAATAATAATAATAAAACAATAATAAAATAATAATAATAATAATAATAATAATAATAATAATAATAATAATAATAATAATGATAATAATAATAAAAATCATTCATGTGTGAAGACGAAATATCTTTTTTCTTTCTATAGTATATGCACATTTTCCTTCTCTCTGACATGAATATATCGTATTACTCTCTGTCTTTGATATAAACACAAAATATTACCTTCCTCTTTCTCACATGAACACAATCATTTTCCTCTTTCTTATATGAACACAAAATATTTATTTTTCTCTCTCTGATCAGAACACAAAATATATCTTCTTGACTACTACAACTGACATGAACACAGAATACCCTTCCCGCAGCTACAGACAGAATTTTCCAACACTCCAATGTGAATATGACATGAACACATTTTTTTTTTCTCTCTCTCCGACATTATTTTTCTCTTTTCAATATGAGCAAATTTTTTTTTTCTCCCCAACATAAAGAAATTCTCTCTCCTATATTAACGCAAATAATTTCTATCTCTCTTCCTCTCTCTCTCTCTCTCTCTCTCTCTCTCTCTCTCTCTCTCTCTCTCTCTCTCTCTCTCTCTCTCTCTCTCTCTCTCTCTCTCTCTCTCTCTCTCTCTCTTTCTCTTTCTGACACGACATAATTATATTTTTTATCTTCGGGATGGAACGCAAGATATTTTTTCTTTCTCCGCTATGAACACAAAATATTATTTTTCTTTCTCCAATACGAACACAGATCACCTCCGACGCAGGCACACCCTGCCTGGGCGTCCATCAAACACTATTCGAGGGACAACATCTATTTTCGCGACAGAAATCCATGTGGTTTGGTTCGCGCCCGGAGTAACAGGCTTGCAATGGTTGCAGGGGCGTCTTCGTGCAATGGAGGTTTTAAATCAGAATTTTCTTTTGAAGGAATTTACCTCGAGGAATCCCAGCTTTCTTTTGTAGATGATGGATGTGCAGATAAAAAAGCCGATTTTGATGTTGATGTGCGATGTGTTGATGTATTTCTTGCTTTCATATTTGGGAAGGTATTGGGTTGTCTGTCTGTCTGTGTCTCCACAACCCCTCTCTCTTTTACTGCTAGTGCTGCTAATGCTAATTATTGTTACTAGAACTTCTACTATATATTCTACTACCACTATTGCTATTATTTCTGCTACCTCTGCCAGTAATATTTTCACTACTACTGCTCTTTCTACTTCTGCTTTTACTGCTGCTACTTTTACTTGTATTTTTTCTGCTACTACTACAGCAACAACCACTACTGATTCTTTTATTGTCATAATCATTGCCCTGCCCATTCTCATTATCATTACCTTGATTAAAATTTGTTCTCCGAAATATAGATATATCATGAAAATCCCACGTCACCTGAAAATTTATGGTCTGAATGCATAATACAAAACGACATACTGTACAATAAACTCGGAACGTTGCATAGAAAATTGCAATTACTAAATGGTAATTTTGTTTTCCTCGTTATATCGGCGCCGCAGTTCAAATCAATTTATAAAAGTTATCTCTATATTGGGCATTCCCGTGATAAACAGCATCGGTGTTTACATAGTTGCATTTACACATGAACTAAATCCACATGAGTTATGAAGGCTCGCCCCTCTCAGATCTGAATATCGCCCAAAACAGACAACAGCCCGCAGAGAGAGCCGCAGCGTGTGAAATCGGCCGTCGGGTTCTGTCGGCCGAGGCGGCGTCGACGGCACAGGCGGGCGAAGGGCAGAGGGAGAGGAGAACGGGGGATATAATGCGTCTGCGAGGTCTCGTTACTCATGTTTTCCTGTCTGTTAAGAATATGGGCCCAGCACCACTTTTTTTTTTTTTTTGTTTCTCTCCGTTTCTGTCTCTAGTTCATTTTCCTCCTCCATCTCTCTCTCTCTCTCTCACACATACATACATACACACATACATACATACATACATACACACACATACACACACACACACACACACACACAGTACACATATATATATATATATCACACATACACACTATATATATATATATATATATATATATATATATATATATATATTATATATATATATATATATATATATATATATATATATACATACACACTATATATATATATATATATATATATATATATATATATATATATATGTATGTTTGTATGTATTCATGCATGTATGGATGGAAGGATATGCATCTCTAGAGAAAATCAACGTTATAATCGCAGTTCAATCGCATTAAAGCAATTCCCTTCCCGCCTCCCGCAGCCGCCCTCCTCGCGCGGCCCGAACCGGCCTCCGCCCTCCTCCACTCACCGGTCAGCCGGACCAAGAAAATTGGCAGTAAACACGACCCGAGCATCTGCGTCGCCTCCGGCAGGCAATTATGCAGGCGAGCGACGGCGGGGCGTGTTTACCGTTTGTCTGAGTTACGGCTGGGTCATCGTCGCCGCTGCCTGATTGATGGCCGCCGGAGTCATCGCTCGCTGCGGCTGTGAGCGGCGTCGGGGGGTTTTTGTGCCGTGTAGGGGGGAAGGGGGGGAGGGGGCGGGTGAGAGGAAGCAGGAGTGTCGCTCGCCCACGCAGGCGCAGTGTGTGTTTGTGTGTGTGTGTTTGTGTTGTGTGTGTGTGAGAGAGAGAAAGACAGAGCAAGAGAGAGGAAGAATCAGTGATAAATACATAGAGAGAAGGGAGAGAGCAATAACAGGAACCAAAAAAAAAAGAAATAAAATGAAGAGAAATCAGACCGGGTAACGAAGAGTGGACGAGAAAATGAAAAAAGGAGACGAAACGGAGGGCCATTGAGTATAGGGATGAAGGAATGGCAACATTAGACAGAAACGAAGCAAAAAACAAAGAAGGTAAGATAAGGTAAGAGAAGACGATTTAAAGATCGGAGGAGATATGCCTTGCACACGGGACTGAAGCAGAGAAAAGGGGAAGGGAAAGAGAGGTGATAAAAGCGAGAAGAACAGGAA